TATGTGTAGTGGATGGATTGTGTCACCTATATGTGTATGTGTAGCGGATGGATTGTGTCATCTATATGTGTATGTGTAGTGGATGGATTGTGTCATCTATGTGTGGTGGACGGATTGTGTCATCTGTGTGTGTATGTGTGGCAGGTGGATTGTGTCGTCTATGAGTATGTGTAGCAGATGGATTGTGTCATCTATGTGTGTATGTGTAATGGATGGATTGTGTCATCTATATGTGTATGTGTGGCAGACTGATTGTGTTATCTATATGTGCATGTGCACATATGTGCATCCTATATGTGGCAGACAGATTGTGTCATCTATGTGTGTATGTGTAGCAGACGGATTGTGTCATCTATATGTGTATGTGTAGTGGATGGACTGTATCATCTATATGTGTATGTGTAGTGGACAGATTGTGTCATCTATGTGTGTATGTGTAGCGGACAGATTGTGTCATCTATATGTGTATGTGTAGTGGATGGATTGTGTCATCTATATGTGTATGTGTAGTGGATGGATTGTGTCATCTATATGTGTATGTGTAGCAGACAGATTGTGTCATCTATACGTGTATGTGTAGTGGACAGATTGTGTCATCTATGTGTGTATGTGTGGTGGATGGATTGTGTCATCTATGTGTGTATGTGTACTGGATGGGAGGCAAAGCTCCTGGAACTGACCCCACATTACACTTGCGAATTCCCACTTCAGGCATCCAGTATAAAATGAGCCAGTAACGGGAACACCCTCCTCCTTCCCGACTTTGATTCAGGCCGACTGCAGGGTGGAAGAGGGGTCCACTCAGGAGCTGTCTAGATAGTCATTATAGGACTTTTACCTCTGAAGAAGGAGGAATCCCTGATGTAGCATTTGCTTCTTAAAGAAAAAATGGAGTCATGTGTGGGTCTCCCCAGGTAGACAGATGGTCCTGCATTTGGAAGCCCAGTGGCCTCAGGCCAAGTTCAGGAGCAGTGGTGTAGACTAAGCAGTGGGCATTGGGTGAGAATCCATGCTGGCCTGAGGCGTGAGCCAACAGCTCCTGGTGTGCAGGGTGAACTGGCAAAGGAGCAGAGCAGAAGCCCCATTAGTAGCTGGCGGCCAGCAAGAGAACTGACTAGCACCGAGAGCCACTGAGGATTGCCCCGATTGTGTGACCCAGGGGTCCAGTGGCCTGAGTGCTGGGCCTGGTGGAGGCAGGCACCGTGCCACACCCCTCAGAGGACGGGTGTCCCCACAGGTCCATGACCGCCTGGATCGCTACTGCTGTGGCTTCGAGCCTGAGCCCTCAGACCCCTGTGTGGAAGAGAGGCTCCGAGAGAAATGCCAGAACCCGGGCGAGCTGCGACTGGTCCACATCCTGGTACGTCCTCTTGTCACCCCAGACTCAGGTCTTCTTGTCTCCTCCAGAATATGCTGTTAGCAAGTTTCAGAGACCATGTGATGCTGGGGTTTCCCAATCTTGTTCTTTTTAGCAGCAGAACGCTTTGTTTGAATAATGTTTCCAGGAAGCCACAATATATAAAACTGACAAAAGTGTGGCTTTGAGAATGTGGTTGAAGTGGGTGTGGGGTGGGGGCTGGAGCCATTTTCCCCGACTCCACTGCCCCTGAGAGACTCCAGGGAACCCTCCAGGGCTCCTGGAAGCAGAGTGTGAGGATTGTGTGTCTGCTCAAACCTCATTGTGCCAGTAAACGCAAAATTGTGGCCTGGAGCGGGGAAGGGAGTTTCCAAGGCCACATGGCTGGTTGGTGGCAGTGACAGGGCTCTCACCCAGGACCCTGATGGCTCACAGGCTGTTGCTGATCAGAGAGATGTTGTGCTGCCTCCTGTTAAGACCAAAGGCCAGCGTGGGAAGCAGTGTGCCAAAGCCATCAGAGAGAGGGGCTGGTGTGGCAGAATAGCCACTTCTCCTGCACGAGGAGCAAGGTGCCACCCTGGGGAAGGGCTCCTCTATCTCCTCTCCAGTGAGGCTTAGTGTCCTTGCTGCCTCACTTTGGTGGGTTGCTCTTGGAGGGGAGCTGTCAGCATGGTGCCCTGGGCTGAGCTTCAGGCAGTCCACACCAGCCCGGAGGCCAGGGCTGCCTCATGGAGATGCTGGGTGGTGGGAATTCTCCATCCCCTGCCCCCAGAGCCATCTCTCCTCTTCCCTGGTAAAAGGCAGTTATCCCTGAGAGAAGTAAGGCTTTTATATCCATCGTTTACCCCTGGTGGGCAGCCATTTCAGAGTTCCTTTAGGAGAGAAGTTTTTGGACGGAGGAGTCATCAGACTTCGAGAAACAGATGATCCCTGATGTGTGGAGAGGGGTGAGGAGGGAGAAAAAGCAGAGAGAGGGGAAGTTGGGGTCCTGGAGACAAAAGTTCATAATCTAAGCTTCCGTCGCTGGAGAGGATTATGGGAAATTACCATGGAATCTTGGAGAATGTGTAGGAATAGGGGGTCTGCCTGGGGGTGGTGGAAGGGGGCCAGAAGAGATGGCCTCCCATTCCCAAGCACACCATGGTTTTAAGGTGCTAAAGAATTTCCTGTTGCTGATTTTAGTTTTGAAGAGGCTTAGGAGATGTTAAACTCTCCTGTGGGGATAGAGTATGGTCAGTGCTACCTGAGGGTGAAGGGCGTCGTTGTGTGTTCTCGGTGATGCTCAGGGGAATGCCCAGGTGTGCAGGCACAGGTGGCACAGAGGGGGTGAGCATGTATGTACATGTGTGTGAGCATGCACATATGCAATACCTCCTGAAACCACAGCCCTGATGGTGGGCTACCCACTCATGCCAATTCCCACTGCCAGTTCCCACCCATGCTTCTCACCCCTTCAGCCAAGAGGACAGGAATCAGTCCATCTGCCTTGCAATTTTGCAGGATATGCTGTGGCTTGGCACTATGGGTCCAGGTTTGAACCAGCCCGGCTACTAACTGTGTGATCTTGTGCAAATTACTTAACTTCTTTGTGCCTCTCTTTCTGTAAAATGAGGCTAATCCTAGCGGCCACCACCTAAGGTTGCTGGGAGGGTGACTGAGATGGTGCCCGCAGCACTAAGCACAGTGCCAGCATAGAGTAAGCTTACTGCTCAGTGCGTGGGGGCCATCTGGGCAAGCAGCAGGGTGAATTGTGGGAGTGACAGCTCAGGGCCCCCCAAGTCCTTTAACTCTGACAGAGTCCACGGGCACCAGCCAGGCTGCACCCTTACCCACCCCTGTCTCTGTCCTTCTTCTTCCTTGAGGTCCGGAGCAGCGATCCATCTCATCTGGTCTACATCGATAATGCTGGCAACCTTCAGCACCCTGAAGACAAGCTGAACTTTCGGCTGCTGGAGGGCATAGACGGGTGAGGGTCAAAAGGACTGGGTGGAGGTTTACGGGACTAAGGCTTAGTGGCCCTGCTGTAGACTATGGGACCTTGAACCATGGCTCCCGAGAAGTCTGCAGTCCATCAGACAAAAGCTGTTGGATCTGAGCTTCGGGATGGGGTGGGGAAAGCTGAGAGGGGATTCAGCCAGCAGGCCCTTCAACTCCTAGTTGAACTCCTAGTGCCCCCACCTCCAATATCCAGAGGGCCTCCTGGCCCTGCACAACACCAGCTGCCCTTCCTTTGCCCTGGCTAGGGGAGCCGGCCTTGGGAGCCTACCCTTCCCTGCTCACTCCTGGCAGGCAGCTCAGCCTTTCTAGGGCTCTTTCTGGCATTTGCCAAGCAGAGCAGTAGGTATTTCACCCAGGAAAGCAGAGTTGATTCACCCGGCTTCCTTATGGGATGGGACCCATCTGAAGGCTCTATCCCTCTGCTTTCACAGCAGAGTCGGTCAAAGGGTTCCCTGATAACTAATCAGCAGGTGCGGCCCCGGGGACTTCGCAGGCTGACCTTGCCAGGGTTCCCCAGCTGTGCAAGTTCTGGCCACCTGGCTTTGCCTTTCACAGAAACTCTCTGAGATCACTTTTGCTTTTTCTTTCTGTTATGGGGCTCGGGGGACCTTCCTCCAGGTTTCCTGAGTCTGCCGTGAAGGTTCTCGCATCAGGGTGTCTAGAGAATATGCTGCTCAAGTCACTGCAGATGGATCCGGTGTTCTGGGAAAGCCAAGGTGGGGGCCAGGGGCTGAAGCAGGTTCTCCAGACCCTGGAGCGGCGAGGACAGGTCCTGCTGGAACACATCCGGAAGCACAACCTGACACTCTTCAGGGACGAGGACCCGTGAGCCCCCCCACTGCCCAGGCAGGGCTCTCGCCTCGCTGGTGGGGCACCTCACAACACGACCTGAGTGGATGAATGCCCATGCTGATGGCCACATTTTCTTGGGTTCACTCATCTTGACGACAACTAGGAAAAGCCAGAAACCAGAAGGGCATCATGGATGTCACGGGCTGTGTCACCTGCTTGGGGTGGTGGAGATGGTTGTGGGTGCTGGGTTTTCAATCTCACCGCATTCCTTTCTGCCTTCTTAGCTCTGGCTGTTTACTCCCTTGCACCCATAAATGCATTCAAGAATGTTCTATGGACTGCTCCAGATACTATAAAGTCGTATATCCCACATGCATATGCAGAGCTGGACAACTGTGTGTGTGGAGGTGTGTAGGTATATGTGGCATGTGTGCATGTCCGCACACATACATGAGATGAGAAGAATAAAGGATCTTCCTAGAATTGTACATGCGGCCCAGAACTGCCTTGGCTGAAAGAAGAGTCAGTCTAAGGAAGGAAACACTAAGCGTTTCATCTTTATAGGCTTTAAATGTTCAATTCTTAGTTATGTTTTTTGGTTTAAGAATTATAAAAGTAATACATGCTACTAAAAACAAATTCATGAATAATAGAAGCATATAAGATAAAAAGAGCAAGTCCCAGAAGCTCCCTAGGGATGTTGATGTGTGTATTTTATTCACACTCACACTACATGCAAGTTAAAAAATAATAGAAGTAGGGTCATCTATGTTTGCCAAGTCACTACTTTAACTTTACTCTATATTAACCATATTAAGTATCAGCCACCTGGGTTGACTCAGTTCTTACTGATGACTGCATGGGATTCCAAGGCAGGGTGGCGTCATATTTTATTTAGCTGTTCTCATTATGATGAACCTTAGCTGGCTCCAACCCTTCACCAATTATAAACAATGCTGCCATGAACATCTTTGCATGGTGTGCAAGTATTTCTGCTAGCTAGATTCCCGTAAAGTGGATTTCTGCGTCAAAGGGTATGAGCAGTCTTTATTTTGGGAGAAACTGCCAGACTGCTTTCCAAAATGATGGTGTCAGTTTATACTCCCACTAAGAGGGAGGGGTTGATTGTCTTCCCACCACCTCATCAGCACTTGCTATTCTCAAACTTTTTGTTTTTATCCATCTGATAGGGAAATCTATTTTTAAAACTGCATTTCCTTAACCACTAATGAGGTTATCTTTCCAGTTATTCACTAGTCACTTGTATTTTATTTTCTGTGAGTTGTGCTTTTCTTTTGAGATGTTTGTTCTTTCCTTGTTAATTTGTTGGAGATCTTTGCATCTAATTAGTGTAATCAATCTTTCCTCTGTTAGATATATTGTAAATATTTTCTTCCAGTCTGTCATTTGTCTCTTGACTTTGTTTATGAGTCTTTTGCCAAGTGGAAAATTTTAATTTCCATGTAGTCAAATCTGTTTATCTTTCCCTTTAAGTCTTTTGAGTTTCATGCCTTCTTAGAAAGGCTGTCGCTATTTCAAGATTATTAAAATAATTTCCTATGTTTTATGCTAGTGTTTCTTTTACGTTTACTCTAAATCTATATAAAATTTATATTTGAGAATGGTGTGAGGTAGGGATCTAATTCAAGTTTTATTTTTCCCCCAGATAGTTGTTCCAACATCATTATTCAAGTCTACTCTTTCTCTACTAATCTGAAAGTATACTCTCACAATATACTAAATTCCCACATATACAAAGGTCCATTTGTGAACTCTGTTCTGTTCCATTGATATTTTTTTCAGTTCCTGCATCAATATGATACTGTTTTAATTAAAGTTACCTTATTATTTTGCTATTTCATAGGGCAAGTTCACATCTTTTTATTCTAATTCTTTAATTTGCTCTTTTTGTGCGTTTGTCTTTAAATATGATAGTGTCAATCTATGAAGCATGCCACCCCACTCCCATTGTCCTTATGTGTAGATTCGTTAACCACCATAGCAGTCAAGATACAGAACAGTCCCAGTGCCACAAAGACCTCCCTCCTGCTACCCCTAAGTAGTCACCTCCACCCCTTTTACTCTCTCTTGTCCCTAATCCAATTGGTGGTTTGATTGGGATCGTATTGAATTTATAGATTAATTAGCAGGAATCTGACTCATTTGTAATATTGAGTGCTCTTGTTCAGGGGCATGGTTTATCAATCCATTTATTCTTTGATAATTTCCAGTAAAATTTTAAAGTTTCCTTCAACAAATAAGCTCATTTTAACGATATTTTGTAATTTTTATTGCTATTGAGAATGAGTTATTTTTCTTGATTAGATTTTTTTCTAGACAGATTTTTAAATGCATATCTTAGAATTTTTAAATAGAAAATCACATTTTCATCTAATGATAATATTACATTTTTATCTCACAAGTGTGTGTGTGCGTGAACACCTTTCATTATTTTTGTTGTCATTACTTTGGTGGGGATGTCTGGAGGAAAGCTGAATAACAGTAACAACAGCAAGCATACTCATCTTATTCTTGACTTTAATGGGAACACTTCTAGAGTTTCACCATTGAGTATTATTAGGTTTACAGGAACAGTTTCTGATAAATATTTTTCCTTAAGTTAAGGAAGTTTCTTTTATTCTCAGCTTACTGAAAGAATTGTCCAAAAATCAAGAAGGGGGATTGAATTTTATTAACTGCCTTTTCAATGTCTATTGGACATATAGTTTTCCTCCTTTATTTTCTAATGCTGAATCATCTTTATTCCCAGAATAAACCTATTTGGCTGAACTATATTAATATTTTAGGAACTACAGGATTTAATTTGCTAATACTTTATTTACTATCTTTGCATATATATTCATATATGGTCTAAGGTTTTTCTTTTTTGTGCACTCCATGACCATCTTATTATTAAAGTTAAGCGGGCCTCATGAAATGGATTCAGAATTTTTTCATCTTTTTAATGCTCTGGAACAATTTAAATAGGAATCACGTATTGCTCAAAGGTTTGATAGCATTCTCTCATCAAACCTTCTGGGCCTTGTGCCTTTCTCTAGATCTTTTATGACCTTTTCAAGGAGCTTCCAACCTTGTGCTGGAGAGGGCAGTTGGACGCCTGTAATCAACTATCATGCCTGGCATGGGAATGCAGAAGTATCCTGGGCAAGATTTAGGCCCTTGGAGTCTAGCTTCAGTGATTCAGGTATTTCTCTTAAGATCATCAATTATGTTTGTTTTCTTTTGACTTCTTGTCTTCTCTCCTCATTCTCCATTTTTTCTCAGTTCTTTCCAAGGACACCTTATCAAGTGATGCTGCCCCTCCTCGGCTAAACCAGTGTCCATTTAACAGCTCGTGCTCTGCATTCTGCCTGGTTCCCTTCCCTCCTTCCTGGCTGATGGACTACACTCAGCCAGAGCGGAGTGAGACACCTACCACTCTAGAAAATGTTAAGGAGAGAGGCATATGGAGAAAGATTTCATTGCCAAAGCAGAGTTAGGGCTCTCACGTCAGGATGAGACTCATTCTATCTTTGTGACTTAACCTGCTCCTTTGGAAAAACAGAGCTAATACTGTCTCATTACTGAGAGACTGAATATACAAATGGACAATGGCCAGACCATCTATGAAAAAAGAACTCTGACCCACAACCTCTGCAGCAGCCAGCCCAGGAACTCAAACCACAATGTCTGCAGCAATTGGCCCAGAATGGTCAGGACTTGGTCAATAACTGCCAGCTTCACTATTTTTTGTCCCCACTTTCAATTCAAGACCAACCAGAGAAAGCCAAATACGTTCCCCTAACCAATCACATAGGACGCCACCCCCACTTCTAGTTAGCCCGCCTGCGGTTCCCCCATGTCCACAGCCTTCAATCAGGGCACAACTGAAGCCTTCCCTCTTTCTCATTATAAAGCTTTCCTGCTCCCCTGCCTGCCTTGGAATCTCTGTTGAAGGCAAGTGATGGTGCTGACTCACTTGCTGTAGCAAGCTCTGAATAAATAGCCTCTATTTGGGTGATCTCAGTTGGGTGGTCTTGATTTTCACACTGTGCGGCTATGAGGCTTAAACAAAGTCGAGGGTAATCTAGGTGAAGGCAGCTGACGGGGGCCCTCCAGGGAGGCAACCTGAGCCCTGCCCCAGAGCGGGTTTCCTTTACACTGAAATAGGTCTGGGGGCTGCCAGGAAAGGAGGGGAAATCTGCTCAGCGGGTGGGGTGTGTGTGTGTGTGTGTGTGTGTGTGTGTAGAGTTTCTCTCTGAAGACACTGTGTGTGTGTGTGTATAGAGTTTCTCTCTGAAGACACTGTGTGTGTTTGTGTGTGTGTATATGTGTGTGTATGTATAGAGTTTCTCTCTGAAGACACCAAGCCAGACTCTTCTTGTCAGTAAGGTTGCAAGCTTCCAGCAAGCACTTCTGTGTCCTGATGTGAATGGGTCTACTCAGCATAGAACGGGGGATGGGCATGCAGACACTGTGTGGCCGGACCCTCCCAGCCTACCCAGTGCATGTCAACCACCCGTGGCACTGTGGGACAGGGCCCAGCTCTCCCTGCTTATTAGCCCACCCAGCAAAGACACCATCTTCAGGTGCTCCCCTCAACACCGACCTCTTCCTGCCTTGTGGATGGAGGGAGTGGGGGGGTTGGGGTTCGACCCTGGATTTCTATGGACTCGGGCAGAGCTGGGCTTGAAGGCTGCCCCTCACACACACCTCGGCTACTCCTTAGCCATATGGGGCCACAGCCCTCTCAGTGTGCTGTTCCTCAACAGGGGTCCCTTGGGTCCCTACATTCTGCCTCAGAACAGTCTTTTAAAAAAATATATCCTTGAAAAATTTTCTATTTTTGATTTTCAGAACTACTTTAGGGAAATAACTTCAGCAAGAGAGAGGACTGGACTTGAATGCAGGAGCTCTGGGTTCAGATCTGGGCTTGGCCACTTAATGGTTAGCACTTGACAAGTGTTTACGGAGCGCCCACTATAATACCACTAACATTTTTTGAGTGATGACTATATGCCAGGCACTGTGACAGTAGTTTACATGGATCAAAGCATTTGATAAATAAATGGCAAGCAATAGGATATATTGGAGCATATGAGGAAGCCATTTGGTGTAAAACTAATTCGGCCTGAGCTTGTTTTTCCAAAAGGGCCTGTGGCCTTTGAACATGCACTGTATATCTGCTTTAAGTATATACTATGTCCCAAAGACAGGAACAAATGCCCTTAAGATAAGGATGCAACTTCCCCCACAATGGCATTTCCTTAAGGATAAGCATTTCTCCCTAGGCTAGGATTTGATTGCTGCACTCACCCTGTGACCACCCAACTTGAGACAACAGACCCGCTACCTGCTGTGCCCACCTGAGAATCGTTGTGCAGGCATGGCAATCTCGTGACTATTGTAAAAGGGACATTGCAATCATATGTGATACATACTCTTTGAAGGTATATAACCACTCTGTACACCCCACTTCTTTGGTGCCCTTCCTTCCTTGGAAAAGGAAAGCCCCGGGATATATGGTCCTCAAATTTGGCTCATAATAAACTTATCCCAATTTTGACTTAGAGATTGATTATGGATTATTTGCATCGACACATTTAACATCACCACAACCCAATGGGTAGGTGTGATTATTATCACCTCCATTTTACAGATGAGGCAGAGAGGGGTTAAGTGACCTGCTCAAGGTCACCCAGCTTGTAGGTAGAAGGGCCAGAATTCAAACCCAGGCAGGAACTGTGCTAGCAAGTCTTGAGCCCAGGACCACCACTTAAAGTCGCTCCCACCGCCCTCCCCAGCTGCTCTGACAGCTCCTCTTCCTCTAATCCTTTTGGATTCAGAGCTGACGACAAGGCAAGGGCAGTTCCCTGGAATGTGGAGCAGCAAACGGCGACTCCATCCAGGCACATTCACATGCATTTGGCTCCCTGCCCATTGCTCTTTGCTTGTTAAAGTCAGCTCAGTCTATGAACTGTGTCTTTCTTGCAAACTTGAAACTTCATCCACTTTTTATGTTTTTCAAAAAACACTCTCAGCCTCAGTGTGTGCTGGTGTTCCTTGCCCTATTCCTCCCCCAGTCGTTACCTCTGAACGATGTGCCAAGCAAAGCAAACAGCCGGGGATGGCAAATCAGGACATTGCCACCAACCTTAAAGAGGCGGCGAGGCCAGAAGCTGAGACGGGTCTGCGCAGCTGCAGGCAAATCGGCCTCATGAAAGAAGCCGCTCAAGGGGCTCTGCCAAGGCCATCACAATCACCAGGCACCACGCTGCCCAACTGGCCTGACCCCTCACTCCAAAAGGGCTATTCCAAGGGAAATGATGGCATTTCCATGAGGGAGAGGCTGATGATAATAATAGGTTCACAACCCTCTAGATGCAATTCCAACAATCCCCAAAGCTCTGAAAATCAAAAACTTTTTCATGTGTTCGCTGTCAAAACTCATGTCCCACTCAGCGTGAATATTCATACATTTCACTGCAGAAATACCAGTGTTTGGTTGTCGGGTGTAACCTCAGACCCTGCTGAGAGTACTGCATAATATCTGGTACATGCACCATATTACCTTTCTATATCTGAAAAATTCAGAATTCAGGATCACATCTGGCACCCAGGGTTTGAGTATGGGATTCTGGACCTGTGATAACATATTACAAGTAGGGCATGGTGCTAAGGGCTTTACACAGAGGATTTCCTGAATGCCTTACAACAATCCCAGCTGTATGATCCTCACCCTACAGACGAAAAACCTCAGCCGGGGAGGGAGTGATTTGCCTGAGTCCACACAGACGGAGGAAGCAGAGTCTGCCCATGGACCTGGGGGAGCACCGGCTGACATGAACTGAACACACATGGTGGCCCCCACGGTGCCACAAGCTTTACATGTTTCCTTATCGCAAACCTTTGCAACAAGTCCATGAGGCAGGCATTATTGCTCCCACTGACAGAAAATGAAACCGAGGTTCAGAGAGGTTGAATCACTTGCCCAGGGTCACAGAGCAGGTAACTGGTGGAGCTGTAATCTAAACCCAGGCAGGTTTGACTCCAGAGCCCCTGCTCCCAATCACTATAGCACCCTTCCTTCCTTCCTACATCCATTCATTCACTCATTCAATAAACCTCATTGAGCGAGTTTCCCACAGAGAACGCAGAATTTGGAAGGAGTTAGAGGCCATGTGCTGTGGTGGCCACTTGTTCCAGATGTTGGGAGAGGCCCGGTTTTACACATCCTGTCCGGTTGTCAGTGCATGTCATGGCGTTGTTTGGTAAGCGAGGCCCCGTAACCGAGGATACAGAAGTGTGAGGCAGCACTATGGACAGGAGGGGGTTCGAGGAAGGCTCCGCCTGGGTGGGGGAGGACAGGAAATGCGGGAGGGGTCTCCGGGAACATCAGAGCCGGTTTCCCCTGCGTCTGGGCTCTCGAGTGAGTGATCCCCAGCTGAACCCCTGAGGCTCGCCCGCCAACTCAGGTCAGACCTCCCTGCAGCCCCCACTCCTGGACCACCCACAGGCGAGGGCTGGCCCTCCAGGTTTTTGGCTCTGCTAGTCACCATTCCCCTAGACTGGCCTTTCTTCCCCCCTAACCTGCCCCTACTCTGCCCCAAGGCCTCTTCAACGTGAAGGTGTCCCAAGGGGCAGGAAGAGGACGAGTTCTTACGATCACTCTGAGGGAGGGACAGCACGGAGTTCTTCCTGCCCCTCTCCTCCTCCTCTTTGCATCACCTGCCCCTCCTTCCCTATCCTGGACCAGCAATGGTGCTGCCTGAGGTCTCTCCCCACCCTCCTAGGGTCCTAGTTAGCACTGCTCAGGGGATGCTCATTTGGGGGTCTAGGGGTTGGAGGTTTTCGGGTTGGGCAAGAGCTGGGGCTCTCAGCCAGTGACTAGGATATTCGTCTACTGGACCGCTTTGGCTTAAGAACTGATCAGCCTGCCGCAGCTCTCTTAGAGTGAGCTGCAGCCTGAGACTCACCTCCTCGACTCCCCTCTTTCCCTCTCCTTCACAGGAGTCAGACTTGCATCGGGGTCTCCTCATGAAGTAAAGGCTAAAACTCTTTCTCCTTCTCTAAGGACAAATTCAATCTTGGGTTAATTTTCTAGCTCTGTTTCCATGGAAGCCAGGTAAAAGTTGAATGTCAGGTGTGGTATTCAGCATCTGGACTGGAAGGTCTAGGAATGAACTAGAATATTTGGTAGGACACCAGAGCTGTAGGCTTCCCTGAGTGCGGTAACTCTTATAACTGGGCAGGTTCCTTGAGGGACCTTGGGAACACGATTGTGGGTTGTTTAAAAGACAATGGCTCCTATGGGGCTTCTAAGCCAAAGTGGCCCCACAACTACCGATGTGGATGTCATCTCCTCACCCCCGAGCAGTCCCTGGAGGGAGAGGGTAAGAGAATGGCCCTTGGACTGGTGTGAAGACTCCCTCTGTGGAAGAAACCATTTGACGCGGCCCTGCTGGCAGGCTGAGTGTCCCGTTCTACGTCCTTCTAAGTGAATCCGAAGCCAGGTGTGGTCTACCACGGTCTTGTGAGTCTGACTGTCTAGTTAAGCGTGAGAAGAACCCCTGGCACAGGCTGGTCTTCCTCACCACAGCCCTCTCCCACCCACTTCCAGGCTTTATCCCACTTCGATGGAAATGTGATATTCACCCAGCAGTCATGGTGAAACCCAACGCTTTCCCAGCGCCACGTCTCCCTGGTTGACAATCAGGATTAAAGGGCATCTGGGTATTGACTACCAGCCCCCTTCCTACCACCCAATAAAAGACATGACCGCGATGTTTATAATCATTTAATGAATGTTCCCAACATACCCTTCACTGGGCTACAGGTGAATTTCATGACGATGGAAGCTGATGAACCACCCACCCAAACAAGCACACAATTACCAGCAGTTTCCAGAAACTTCGATGTCAACCAGAAAGACTCAGTGGGGAACAGCATGACCACTCAGCCAACAAGGTTCTTGGGGATTCTTACTTTCCTTCTTCCTTCTCCTCCTCCTCCTCCCCCTAAGGACTTTTGCCAGGGCTATAGATGCTCAGGATGGGAGAAGGGGTGAGGGGTCCCATTGCACCAGTGCACAGAGGAGTGCTGCGAACCCCACACCTCAGAAGCAGTAAGATGACACGGAGGCACAGGCCTGGGGCAGGCCTGCTCAATAAATAAACAAATAATTCCTAGAAGCCACCACAGGGGGCTAGCGGGCTCAGGGACACTGAACTGGAGGAGCCGACCTCCCAAAGCCTGGCCACGGCCCGCTCGCTACGTGTTACACACCAGCACATCTGCAAAGGGTCCCAGGAGGCTCCTGTTGAAGATGCAGCGCACCCACACCAGGTAGGTGGTGAAGGGCTTGATGTTCTCAGTGAAGGTGTGGTTCTGCAGGGCCAGCATGTAAGGCACGTAGGTGTTCTCCCCCTGCTCCTGCAGCCACACCTCATACTTTACGTCCTTCACCTTCAGGTACTTGAGGTTCCACGGGATCTGCCAGGAGACAGTGAGGCGGGCCTCAGAGGCACCCTGCACCGACGCCTGGCACCGCGCCTCCCTCACCTTGCCTGGGTAGAGACCGACTGTCCACTTCTGCTTCCGCGGCCCTGGCCGGCCCTTCACCACGCGCTGTATGCTTTGGATGAGGGATGGGATGTCCACCTTGGTGTCTTGGTAGATTCGGAAGAGCCATTCGGGGTTCCGGCAACAGAGATGCCGCGGGACCTCACGGCTTTGCAGGATACGGGCCTGCTCTGCCCGATCTAGGTGGGTGATGCCCCCCTGGTCCCAAGGCCGCTCAGGGTGCGTGACCGTGTTCTCTGGCATCATGTTGCGCCAGGCTACATACTGGAGGTCCATGCCGGGCAGCATGGCCAGCGTCTTATAGGGGGTGTAGTGGTCAGGATTGACGGCATACGGGAAGAGCTCAACCACAGTTGCCCCACGGGGCAGGAAGAGGGCAGTGACCAGCTGGGCCCCGTGCATGCTGACCAGCATGGAGGCATTGCTGACCAGCCGTACAACATCTGCAAAGGCATAGTCCTCCAGGGACACCGTCACTGTCTTCATCTGGAACTCCTGGGCCAGTGCCAGCAGCAGCTCTGCCTCATTCAGGATGAGTCTGTTCTGGGTGCGGCTGAAGACCAGAATGTACTCCTCGCCTAGGGGGGCCCCTGCATGGCTCACATTTAGCTTTTCCATCATGAACTGTGCAAACTGCCGGATCTCGTTGCCTGAGACAAGGATATTGGCCTTTGGGCCCTGGGGCTGGACGAAGCCATACTGGTACCAGGTGGTGACCTTGGAGAGGCCCACAAAGGCATGGGAGAAGCACAGCAGCCGGCCCAGCGTCTTCAGCTGTGCCCGCAGGAGTGGCTGCTTGGGGCTGAGAAGCTTGTAGAGGTCGAAGTGTGCACCCTCGCCCCAGCCCTCCATGAAGAAGAGCCTGGCCTCACGGGCCAGGCCAGGGAACTGCCGCAGGGTATAGAAGAGAGGCAGCAGGTCGTCATGGAAGACATGCATGAGGTTGTCGGGGTTGAAGCGGTTGGCAATGAGGGCCACGTCAGGCACGAACACTGGCTTGGGCATGAAGCGCAGGGCGGCGGCCGGCAGCTCCACAAAATTGAAGTACTGGGTGTTGTGGTCCTCCACGGTGGACAGGTCGAGCAGGGCTGGCTGGAAGCGCCGGGAGCCCAGGTTGGGCAGCATGACAGAGGTGTTGCTGTGGAAGAAGATGAACTCCTCGGCTTCGCTGGAGTAGCAGAGCCATTTGAAGCGGCAGATGCGGTCAGTGTGTGTGCGGCCTGTGCACACCATGTCTGTGCCGCCCTCCATCAGGATCTGCAGTGCCTTCGGGTAGTCGATCCTCAGCGCTGGGGCTGGCTCTGCGGTCTGTCGGCCGAGGGCCAGCTCCTCCTCCAGAGCGGCTGCATGCTCGCGCAGCCGCACATGCTTCCACAGGACTGCCGCCAGCACCGACACCAGCAGGGCATTGAACACCGCCGAGAGGTGCATCCTAACGCCACTGTGGGCCCTAGTGAGATGAGGGCCCCTGGGAAGTGCCACAGGCCTGCTGGGCTTTACCCATCCCTGCGGGCACCCTGAGGACTGGCAAAAGCCTGCAGGAGGAGAGAAGGAAAAGGAAAAGGTGTTGGTGTAGTCTGTCTGGAGTCATCTCAAGCTCCCGCCACGTGCCAGGCACTGTGCTAGGCTCAGTGTGCCTGTGCAGCATTGGATCTATGCACTATCCTGCACATTCGTAGGTGTGGGAGATTAGACCTTTGTTCATAAGTATTCACTCCTTCCCTCCCCTACTGCTTCCACGGGGCAGTATACATTCCTGTACCTTGACTTTGGGCTTGGCCAATGAGATGTTAGCTGACAGAACATAATCAGAGGCTTGAAAAGTGCTTGCGGGACCGGCCTTGCCCTCTTTACACATATGACATTGCCATGAGAAGAATGTGTTCAGCCTAACTCACTGGTCCCAGGAGGAGGAAGACATGTGTGGAGCAGAGCTGCTCCAGCCATGCCCAGTCTAGCTCTGCAGACCCCCAGGTCTGTGAGTGAGCCCAGCCAGGACCATCAGAACCACTAGTCAAACCCAGCGAAGACTGACTGACACAGAGACACCTGAGCTGAGTAAGTGCTTGTCATCACTGGAATTCTAGGGCTGTTTGTTAAGAAGCACTGCTGCCACAAAAGCTAGCCAATGTAGATATCTGTGCTGAGAGGCCACAGGGAAAATCCCCTTTAGGGGCCTGACATTCCTGGTGCCACAAGGAAAGCACAAACAGGACTGAAGGCCTGTGAGCACTGTTCCCGGGCTGCACACCACGACCCCCGTGAGCCGCTTCTCAGGACACGTGGCACATATGCACAGGGGAGATGAGGGAACATCTGCTCTTGCTTAAAGCTCCACTTTGGAAATCACGCCTGCTGGCATTTAGATTCCCACAAAAGGATGGGTAGAAACTTACCCCTGCAGTGGTCAACCAAGAGAATTATGTTTAAATGTTACCACTGACACACGTTTTGTATACTGATGCAAAAACCCCCAAGGGTTCAACTCCCTGCCCCACATATACACACACCTAAAGAGAGGCCTGGTTGGGCCGTGGGCATTTCCTCCCATTTTTCCGTGCTACTGGGAAGGGTATCACACCTGCTCTGAGGCCCAGGACTGTTCAGACAGTTAGAGTCTCACCCTCAGCCCTCAGAGGAGCAGCCAGGTAACATGTGGCGCCCACTTGGCCCTGCACTGGGGAGGGATCGACCTACCCCTTTACTCCCTTGGGGGCAAGCTTTTGACTATTGGTGTCTTGTAACTTCTATACCCCTGCAATCAAAAGAATGAAAGTGCAGGGCCGGCCCCGTGGCTTAGCGGTTAAGTGCACGCGCTCCGCTACTGGCGGCCCGGGTTCACGCACCGCTTCTCCGGCCATGCTGAGGCCGCGTCCCACATACAGCAACTAGAAGGATGTGCAACTATGACATACAGCTATCTACTGGGGCTTTGGGGGAAAAAAAAAGGAGGAGGATTGGCAATAGATGTTAGCTCAGAGCCAGTCTTCCTCAGCAAAAAGAGGAGGATTAGCACGGATGTTAGCTCAGGGCTGATCTTCCTCACAAAATAAATAAATAAATAAAACTGTTTAAAAAAAAAAAAAGAATCAAAGTGCAATCTTGCCCAGAAAGAGATGGTGTCTTAGGCAAGTTCCCTCAGAAGCAGAGTCAGAGACAAGAGTTTGAGTCAAAATAGTTTGAGAAATTATCCCAAGAAACACCTGTAGGACAGTAGCGAACTGGGACAAAGAATGAAGACAATACAGGGCCCACTAATGAGCAGGCCACCGCTTTGGGGAAGCTCAGCTATTTGCCTACCAACTCCTGTCCAGCATTAGTTGAAAGCCATTCCTGGGGGCACGACCCCTTCCAGCCTGCCCTCATCCAAGGGTTGAGCATGCACACATATGCACATAACCTCCCAAAAATTTCAGGAAGCACTACGCTGACCAGGTGTAACGCACTCCAGTGTTTCCTCTTCTGGTCCATTCTATTCTAAGGCTGTTAAAAAAGTGTGTGGGGGGGCACATAGTCTTCTTAATTGATTTTACAACCTACTAACAGGGTTGGCAATTTGCTGTTTAAAAAATACTAATCTAGACCAGAGGTTCTCAAACCTGGCTGGTTATTGGAATCCCCAGGAGCACTTGCTAAAAACCCATATTCCCAGGCACCACTCCTGGAGGTTCTGATTCAGGAGGTCTGGGGTGTGGCTCAGGCATATGCATCTTTTGTTCCTCTGCTGCATTTTCCTGTCTTGTGGACTATCCGAATCCCACTTTTATTCATCCACAGTGTATTCGAGGGTATCTCTTGGTATACACTTTCTAGTGGCTGCTCTAGGCAGCATGTTACACGCGTGCAACTGGTGGCAGCCTACTGGTATTAACATTTTACCTTTCTAGTAAGTACACAGACCTTACCTCCATTTAGTGACTTTATCCTCCTCCCTTTCTAATATAATTATCTTAAATATTTCCTCTATATACATCAAGACCCACACCAGACAACGTTATAATTTTTGCTTCAACTCTCAAATGTAATTTCCTCAAGAGGAAAAGGAGAGTCTATTATATGTATCCATACTTTTACTCTTTTTGTTCTCTCTTTGTCCCTGACGTTCCAGGTTTCCTTCTTATCATTTCCTTTCTTTGAAGACCTTCCTTTAGTCATTCTCTTACGGAATAACTTCTCTTAGTTTTCCTTCATGTGAAAATGTCTTGGTTTCACCTTCATTCCTAAAGGATATGTTCACTGGGCATAGAATTTTGGGGTGATGGTTCTTTTCTCTCAGCGTTTGAAAACTTAGGTTGTGCGGCTTCCCTCTGGTCTCCGTGATTCTGATGAGAAATCTGCTGCATGTGAACTGCTGCTCCCCAGAGGTGATGCTTCCTTCCTCTTCTGCGGCTCTTGCGAGTGTTCCTTTGTCATCGGTTTTCAGAAGTGTGATTATGAAGTGATTTGATGTGGATTCTTTGGGTTTATCCTGTTTGGGTTTCAGTCAGTCTTGATTGTAGGTTTATGCCTTCTACTAAATTTGGGAAATTTTCAGCCATTATTTCTTTGAATACTTTTTCACCCTCACACTGCTCTCCTAGGACTCCAATTATACTAATGCTAGATTTTTTCTTTTTAATTACTGTTTAAAGGTCTCTGAGGCTCTGTTTAACTTTCTCCCCAGTCTGTTTTCTCCATTGCTGTTTAGATTGGAAAATTTCTATTGTTTTGTTTTCATGTTCACTGATTCTTTCTTCTGTCGTTTCCATTCTTCCATTGGGCCCATTCCAGTGATTTTTACATTTTGGTTACTATACTCTCCAGTTCTAAAATTTACATTTAGTTCTTCTTTATATCTTCTACTCCTTTGCTGAGACCTGTCCCAGGCATCTAGGGTATTATGATACTCTAGATCTTATATTAAATCTTCTATTTTACCAGGTTTTTGATAAGACCGTGCTGGTGGGGGAAGGGAGAGCACTGACTCTTTACCGTTGGGTGGGAGTGGAAGTCCATGCTCCCTACTCAGCCTCCACAACACCCCCCTGGCAGGGAGGGTGAGGGACACCTCACAACCACTAAGCAGGGTGGAAACCTAGGCTCCTCAGTTGGCCTCTACCAACACCCTGGGATGGGGGGTGCCTCATCACCACTGGGTGGGAGTGGAAGCCTAGGCTTCACTGACACCTCAAGGGGACTGTGGTAGGGAGGGACATCTTGTTACCACTGGGGGGTGGTGAAAGTCCAGGCTTCCCCTCCAGCCCCATCCACGGGGAGGGAGGTATTGAAGGTGGGGGGGCACCTGGTTACCACAAGGTGAGGGTGGAAGTCTATGCTATCCATTAGGTCTTTTCTAAAGCTGGGAGGGAGGAGGGAAGCAATTTTCCCTGGTGTTTTTCAGGAATAGGGTGTAATTGTCAAAAAGTTTCTGTTTTGCTAGGCTGCTCCTCTTCCTGTCCTTTGAGAAGAGAGAGCAAGCTCTCCATGGGGCTTTTTTCTGGTCTACGCCCGTTGGCATTTCTGGGTTGCAGTCTTCTTGAGTAGCCAGTCTGGGATCTATAGAAGGCAAAAAGACCACCCAGGGCACTCACCACTGTGTCGTTCCACGAGTTTCAGAGTCCCAACCTGGTCCACATTCTTCTCTCCACCTTTCAGTCTCCTAATGTTTTATATCTAATGTTCTGTGTTTTCAGCTCTATTAGCACGAAGGATAGGAATAAATGTGTCTACTCCATTTTGACCAGAACCTGAAGTCTCACCGGCATCTGCTTTTTCAGCAGGCTCCCAGGTGATTCTGACATACAGCCAGATCTGAGAAAAACCAAGGGGCTCTTAACCAAATAACCAGGCCATGTATCCCTAGAGCCCCAAAGTCTTAGCTCATTCCAGCATCAACTCAAAATTATGAGTCCACAGTCTCATCACACGGGACCTGGTGAGCTGGGGCTGCCTGGAACCTTGGGTACCCAGTGGTTTGCAGACCCTGATCCTTGGGGGCTGTTGAGGGTGGTGATGGGCAACGAGACATGTAGCCAAGATCTCGGTCCACCAGCTAGTTCCAAACAGAAGCCCTTTTAATTTTTTTATACTTAGGGTACTATAGTGGGTTGAACAGTATCCCCCTAAATTCATGTCTACCGAGAACCGCAGAATGTGAACTTATTTGGAAACAGGATCTTTGCACACGTAAGTTAAGGATCTTGAGGTGAGACCATACTGGATTAGGATGGCCCCTAAATCCAATGAGAGTGCCCTTCTAAGAGAGTGCCCTTCTAACAGAGGAGAAGGCCACGTGAAGATGAAGACAGGGATTGGAACGATGCAGCTATAAACCAAAGACCACCCAGGATTACCAGGAGCTACTGGAAGCTAAAAAGAGGCAAGGAGGGATTCTCCCCAGGGCTTTCAGAGGGAGCATGGCCCTGTCAATACTTTAATTTTACACTTCTGGCCTCCAGAACTACGAGAGAATAAATTTCTGCCATTTTAAGCCACCAAGTTTGTGGCAATTTCTTGGAGCAGCCCTAGGAAACTAACACAGGTACTATAAGAATTC